GGAATACATTCAAGTGTGGTGGTGGAGTAAAGAAAAGCATGTGTTTTTTATTAAGAACTTTTAGCCCTTTACCATTTCTGTAAGGAAACACCACCACAGATGATAACTGAGCAAAGGAAAGATCGTATTTTAAGTGAATTCCTGTGCAATCAGTGATGATTTTTCATGCCTTTTCATCACTTTTATTAGTATTTTAAAGGAGCAATAAAGAAAACGTAGCTATTAAACCCATGAAACCCTCCACAAACCCTTCAATGCAAAAGAGAAAGAAAAACAATCTAAACCACTCATTATAACTTCAACATTTGTCAAAAACATGATTTAAAAATAGAAAAGAAGGAGAAATTACGTGTTGATCTATATTTAGCATAATCAGGCTTTTGAATGAAGTTTTGAGGCCCATATTTTCATAATTGTGTATGTGCAATTGATTGGAATTTTATGGCAGGCAAGCTTTCCTTGAGGGAGGGAGATAGATTACTGAATCAATATTTGAGGGCTCTTTTGTTTTGCTTTGTTTTAATGTTATTGAAAAGTCTGGGTGGCAGCCATGATAGATACTTTACAGCTCACAGATTATTAAAAAATAAGAAATAATTAGGCATAGCTGACAATCAATTGGTTGCACATGGTCAGTACAGGAGAACAGCAGTTTAAAATATTTGTCTCGTGTGCTTTATGTCCATGGAAATACCATGTGAAGCTGTACTAATGATCAGGATAATTTACTTGAGAAGAGACTTCTTGAACAAGTTAGTTTGTATTAGGATTTCAGACCTCCTCTCCCTGCTACCTGTGAGGCATTTAGTGAAATGAAGAGGCAGGGGAAGAAGGATGTTGTGCTTCCTGCTAAATAATAATAAACAACAAAGCAGAAAGCTTTTCCAATACTTAAAGATTTGAAAGCATACTTATCCTGTGCTAAAGACATCCTTAGTATCTCAATAGCTTTGTGTAACTCTCAAGAATCTATTGGGGAAAAAAACAAAGAGTACATCTATATATATCACTACCTACTTCTATCCATGTATATGTAAGGTTATTCCAGCAGGATACAGGTGACCCTTAGACCACTAGTACCTACATACCATGTTTCCAGAATTCTGGGAAACACATTAAGAAGTTACACTTCTGGAAACAATACTCCTCTGTCAGATCTCGTAAAGCAATATAAACCAGAAAGATTCCGTAAACTTTGCAAGTTTTGTACAGCCATGTTTCTTGAAAAAGGCGATTCCCCTGTTGTCCTTGGATCTGGGTAAACTTTTTGACTTCTTTTTTTGCCATGCCCATGGAATAAAATTAATCTCTCAACTTAATGAGATATTGTCAGTTAAAATAGTTGAGAGACCAGAATTTATTCTTTTTTATTTCTTCTAAATGCTTTACAGAACCAAACATTAATTAAAGTATATAGATGCACATGTGTGTCCATACATACACACATATGCAGATGTAGTCCTAAAGGACACAGCATTTGATCTCCTAAAACGTCAACTAAGTATGTTTTTTTAATATAAAATGAAACCCCTTATTATTTGAAATAAAATTGACTTGAAAGGTGTTGTTTTTCATTCTTTATTGTTTTCAGTCCTCTGTGTTTCCTGAAGTGGAGCTGATCTCATTAGAAGAAAACATGAAAAATAGAAAACATCTAAACTGGACTTCATAAGTCTGAAGTACCCTAAATCAGTGGTGGTTTTAAGAAAAGTACCCTTATTACCTTGTTTCTTTGTACTCTTATACAAAATAATTTTGTGCCAGACTGAACTCTGGAGAATTGTAGAGTTGTAGAGTCATAATTTCTGCTTTATTCCCATGTTGTGTTAGGCTATTCATAATAATACTAACACTATCTAGCTCTTTTCTGAATCCTTAATTGAGGGATCTGAGAGATCTTTAAAAAAAAACAAAAGAAGAAAAAAGAAGAAAAAAAAAGGTAAGCATATGTTTTCCTGATTTTAAAGCTATGGAAGCAGAGACAAAATAGAGAAAAATGATTTTCTTGGTGTCACTCAGGAGGCCAGTGGGAGAAACAGGACAAACCCCAGATTTGTTGAGAACCAATATAACATGCTACCCATTTTCCAGAGACTAAAAGCATTCTTCCCTATCATGGGATGATATCACAAACACTCTTCCTCAGGCTACTTTTCTACCAAGCATGCACAGGTATGATTTTTCTCTTGTTTATTATCACTCAATCTATTTTTTACCCTGGAACTAAGCACAAGAGACCCATGCTAAATTTCACATCTCAGAATCAGACATTTTTACAGGAGCTGTGTTATCACCTTTTTTCTTTTTACAATGAGACTATATCCTTCGTTCTTCCATTCCTCATAAAACTGACAAAAAACATTTCTGTCAGAATTTGTTTTTAAGAATCACCTCAGGCACTGTATAATGATGGAAAATTGAGAATAGCCACAAGGCTGAATGTTTGGAGAAATCATATCCATGAAACTGATGTCTTAAACACAATATGCCTAGACATGGTTGGTTTTGAAGTCCACTTGGAAAGGCAGTCATATGCATGGCCATGAGCCAAGTCTGGGACACCCTGCAATATTGCCAGCAGCCTATGTCTCTGGTGCAGCTGGCTGAGTTTTTCCCCTGGTAACAGAATGTTTCTTCTGGACTTATTTTGTGATTGCTGCCCTGCATCCCATGGTGAAGGACTCACATGAATTAAGAACTAAAAATATATAGGTGGACACCACTTTGAATTTAATGACTCAGGTGACAGATCACTTGAGAATTAGGCTGAGATGGTAACTGCTACCATTAAACCAGACTTTCAGAGATAAGGATGATCCAGCATGTAAGTGCTGACCATAATGAAAAAAACCCCAAAAGTAAAAATTTCTCTGACTGTTACGTCTTTCAAAGATCTATGTGGTTTGCTTTGCCAGGTATCTGTGAAATAGAGCAGATATGGCATGACATCTTGGCAGCAAGATTTGGTTTGGTCTGGGGAAAGGTGGAACTGGAATTTTGGCATCAGAGAAGCTTTTCTCTTATAGTGGAAGAGCTTGCTTTCTCCTCCTCAGCTCTTGGAACTTCAGGGGGGAGCAGATGACAGAGAGAGTGAGAAGGTTACAAACACTTCACCTGAGCTTCTCTGGTTGTGGAGTAACAGCAGAGGGAGTCTGGGCTTGATGTCTTATATCTTTCTTATTTTTTTCAAAAGAAATCCAGCTTCAGGAGTGTCATCACCTGGCTTAGTGATCACTTTTCAGTCATCTGACTTGTTACATTAGGATAAAATTCACTACTCTTACAGCTGTAACCTGCCATGGAGTTTCATGCAACAGTGCCATTGACTTCAATGGGAATTCCGTATATGAAACAATGACTGGAAATCACTGTGCACATAGTGACGTTCTATCCCATAAAAAACCCCACAAAACAATAACCAAAGTTCTTCCTAGGCGATAAAAGTATGTCTAGTTTCTTTACTTTTCCCCTTCTCCCCCTTCCAAAGCATGAGGTGTAAATTTTGGGGCTGTTAATTTCTGACATTCCTTTTCATTGAATGAGAAAAATCTTAAAAATATACCATGACTTACTCATGGTATACTTCTGCTGACAAAGTATCCAGTGAAGAAGCTTTTAATAAAAAAATGGACACAACTGACACTTGGTCTTTTAAAATTTCTTCTTCTAAAAAAGGAAATTAAAGAGTTTGTTTTTATTAAAATTAAACAATAAGCCCTAACAACAGGGATAATACTGGCCTTGATCCAAAACTCTCTGAAGTTAATGAAGAAACTTACATTGACTCCAGTGGGCTTTGGGTCAGACCAGTTTTGAACTAAAGACAAAACATTAGCTTTGTTAGAGAACTGTCCTTCATTTTTGTGGAAAAAGGGTCCTTGTTTCCTTAGTATTTCACACGTGCTGTTCACATAGAGCACACTGTTTTGTCTGTTTAATCTTCTTTGGATGTGACACAATTAGAATAAACAAAACACCTGAATGTCCATGTGTAGCATGTGTTAATATTATCCTGGAGAAAAAAGAATAGCAAATTTAATGCTTCCTTAGAGGTTTCTTTGCTATATAAAGCTATAATTTTCTTGCTCCAGGTAGGGGATTTTCCCCTCCCCAATTATGGGCAGGGATTTCCCTCTCAAAGATCTTGTAGGATGAAGAAGTGTCTCCCTTCAACTGCCCCTTTTTCTCCCACATAATCTGAAACCCAAGCCCTTATTTGAGGAACCAAGGTTTGCTTAGTCATTTAAACTATCCACCACAAATAGGATTCCTAAGAGTGATTTTCTGCTCACAAATGTATTAGCAAAGTGCTTATTTACAGATACCAGATTTTTTCGATAATAAGCCCAGTTGTTTAGGAAAGGTTTTCACAATATTTGTTCCTTTTACATTGAGTGTGGCACTGTAAGATGACAATTTCCTCCACATAAGCTGAGATCAAATTACCCCACTCAGATAAACCAACAGTAACTGTGACTCCAACAGCCAAACCAGCTTTTCTTCTCTAAGGGGAAAGCATCCATATTTTAAGTTTGTATTGCATCCCATCAGATAATGTTAGACCTTATAATCTAGTGCAGTACTTACAATACCCATAAATCACTCAATCTGACATAAATGTAGAGAATATTCATTCTTTTCTTTGAGCACAATGCAATCATGTCCTAATACTGCCTTAAAACCAGTGAGGAGTCATATCCAATAACTATCCCAATTATCTCTCAGCGCAATGTTTTCCACCTGCAAGGAATGATTATGTGTCAGTAACGATGATAAAGTCCTTAAAGAGATGTTGATGCCTCATGGAAAAATTTGAAAGACATATTGCTTAGTGAGACTTCTGCTTATAGACTGCATCATATATATCTGAGGTATTTCTTTTCCCTATTTTTTATTACTAAGGACATATGCATAAAGAGATATTGTGTGTCAGGGAAATAATCATTATATAGCTAAAGTAAAAATTGGCAATCATGTGTGTTCTACTCTTGTTTTGACAGAGACTTCACAATGACCTTGGGGAAGTTTTGTAACTGTTCTGTGCCCTACTGAAATGTGGAGACAATGCTTGTATGAGGTTGAGTATTAATTCATAACAAGATGTTCCGTACTGTTGGATGGAATGTGCCAGGAAAGAGTTAGAGCATGTTCTTACCATTTATACCACAAGTTGTAGTTCTCTTCCTATTAAGCCTAAATGCAGAAATGAACCATCAGTCCATTACTGTTTTAGGTGTTGTAATAAAAGAAGTACTGAAAAAATTGCAATTTAAGTAGTAAAAATCAAGAAAAAAAGGGACAGAAAAGACAGTGATATTGGGAGGAGCCAATCTTTGATAAAAGTTACAGAATTTTTTTAATATCAAAATACGGACAAGAATCTGTATTTTGTACCTTCTTTGTTACCTCTGCATGGGCAGATAGAAATAGAGCTGTCCTAACCCTATTTAGGCTCCAACCTCCCAGAGCTGTTAGATCATTACATTAGTTGGAGCTATGTGAATGTGGCTGGGTGGCTTTTAGACAAGGAGCTACCAGAGGAGCTTTGGTCTGTCTGTGCCCTCTGTGTGAATAACTTTAGGTCTCACAGCAAAAAAATGTTTACTAAACCACATCCCATCTGGCTGTGGGAGGTGGTGAATGTGCTTGCGTTGCAGAATTTAACTCTGATTTGCAGACCTCACTAACATTCACTCAAAATCTGCTTTCCTAGCAGCATCATTTTGAGTGTGTTTTAATGAGCTGTGCCTCCTGCAAAACAAGTAAGGTACCAGAAACATAGTACTTTCAGTTCCCTCCCTCCCTTTTTATCTCTCTCTGTTCTGGAAATCTTTGAAGAGACTCTCATCTTGTTACTGAAAGGTTTTCCAAACCATAGAATCCAAATTTCAGGGTTCTCTTCACCTGTTTCTATCTTTAAGCAACATGAGTGTCTTTATACCAAATATCAATTTTCATGGTGACCAAATGCTAATATCCACAAACAAAATTTTCAGAAGTCAGACTTACAGACAAAACCACCTGCAGCTCACAGTAACTTTAGCAGGATTTGCAGTGACTGCTATTTCTATACAGAAAATCACCTCTGTGCAGAGATCTGTGTTTGAGTTTGGAGGACCCACTGTAGGCAGCTAAGGGGAAAGTCATGGTTCTTTGCAGGGTCCCTTCAGCTTGTTACCATGTGACTGACAGTCCGACAAGTGAACCACAAAGGTTTACATAACCACTTGAACATTTAATTACACTCCTGTACTGAATTAGCTCCCATAATTTTTGAATTTATCTATCTCTTGTTTTAATTGACTGTGTTCCTTGATCTGGTTGTCATCACACAAAATGTATTGTTAAATGGTTTTAATAACTTCCTGCATGTGCAGCAAGCAGTATCTAGCATACGTTAAGGGACACATGTCAATCATAATTGACTTACTCTTAAATTTCATTGCTTTTGTGGGTTTAAATCAGATCCTTAATGATACTTGAAATCTTCTTTTGTGGTTACATTTTAGTGCTTTTTTGCTAAATCTTCAAGAACAATGTCCTTTCGGGTGATACATTGAAACCACAAGTGCCAGAGGGGAAAAAACCTGCCACTGAAATGCGTGGAGATATGAATGACAGACTGTTCACTTAACTTATACATTCAAAAATATCTACTTTGTCCTTCCGAGAGTGAAATGGCTGCTTTGACATAACTGTGGTCTCTTATATGATGTTAATCCATAGTGTCGAAGCCATTATAATTCTAGTTCAGATGTACATATTTTAAAAAAGAATTCTAAGAAAAAGTTATTTTACATACTCAGCCACTGACATTTTTATGTTAATGTTGGGTTTAATTTCTAAAAAAAAATGAGAAATATGGCACTATAGGGAACTATTGGATTTAGTAAATCTACTGGCTATAAAATTCCTTTTCAAAGAAATAAACTTCTTTATAATCCAACTCTAGTAAACTAGTTATTTTCCAGAGGATGTAAGCATTCATGAAATGTATTGGATTTACAATTCTAGAACACCTGGTTACTCAAAGAAAGCATTAGTGTAAACAATAAAAAGGTCTTCATACTGCTCTGCTAATATCTTGGCCTCAGTTTGCTGTAACTGTCTAGTTTCAATTTGCTCTTCGTGTCCACTATCTACTTAAAGTCTCAGATAAAATTAATTGTTCTTTTCATTTTTTATGATCTTTATACCTGTTCATTAGGAGTCGTACGGAGTCATGATCAAATTTATGTTGTTCATTCTTTTAGAGAAACCAAGAACAAGAATCTGATTTCATCCACAGACAAGACATTTCCTGTCTATTAACCTATATTTCCCTTTTCACAGTGTCATCTGTTTATTCTCAGAGTTTACTTAACACTATGATGAAATGTAAATATCTAGCAACAATTTAAAAATAATGTAAAAATGTTAGAAGGACTATTTAGAGTGTTAGGAATAATATTTGAAGAAATTGATTCTTCTTCTTTTCTAGAGTCATCTTCCTGATACCATTGTGCCTAAACTTTGTCTCCTCTTAAAAACTGTTGAATATGTATAGCTCACTACAAATGTTATCCCCAAGAAAAACAAAAATCTTCACACTTTACAGGGAAAGCACAAATCAACACTTTAAATTTGAATAGGGTATCATGGTAATGATAAAACTCCACAGAGGTTTTGAACTGAGAAGACTGTTAGGATTGCTTCAGCTTCAATGAGCAGAGAAACTGAAAGCATCTTTCCAAGAAATGCCAGAGGAAGGAGGTCCTACATCAATCTGGGAAGGCATTCAAAAGTTTGCCTAAGTATTTTGTGTAAGAAATTATATGATCAAGTTTGCATTACTCCGAATTATATTATTGAAGGAAATCAGACAAGCTATTAAACTTTAAAAATGGGAAGGATGCTTTAATTTTGCATTAACTTGGTCAGAATCTGAAAGATGTGATACATTAACATCTGATTGTGTAAATCAACAAAAGTGAAGTATGCTTTGTCCTACATTTGAATCAGCCTCAGAAATAGGGTGGAACAGTCGCCAACATTATTTATGTTATATGTACTGATATATACCAGAGAAGCTTCATGTGAGGCCCAGATGCACTAAGCAATGTGCACAATCTAAATAAAAACAGGGACAACAGAAAGGTGAAGTAAAAGACGACAAGGAAGAAATGATGCTATATTGCTGTGAATTACAGTTTCAGCATACCAGCAAACTAATTTCTCCAGATCTTTTCGTAGGACAAAAAAATTTTTTAGGATGAGCTGGTATGAGAGCACACTTTCTGGGTGTTTATGAAGGCTCCTTCCAAACTTGAGGGGAAGCATTCCAAAGCAAGGATGGCAATAAAGAACCTTGAGAAGAATGAAGACATACTTTCTATTGCAGTAACAGAGAAGATGTTGCTGAAACGATATATATTAAAAAAAATAGTATTTGGCTGAATCAGTTGTTTAGGATGGTCCATGTGTATAGACAAAAGATGATGTGTATAGAGGAGCTATAGAACATAGTATTGGGTTATCTAGAGAAAGGTACGACATGGATCTTTTCTATGGTACACTAGAAAAAAAATTATTATATTTGAGATTAGAAGGAAGAATCGATATTGATATAAAGCTAAATACAGAGCACATTAAAAGATAGAAAAGGGAGGCTGTTCTGGCTTGAGTCAAGCAGGCTGCTGTGCTGGGTGGCTTTGCTCTCTGCTTTCACCTTCAGGAGTGATACACTCCTCTATTCTTGCACATTAGATAGGAACCTGGCTACACTTCAGGCCAGTCTTTCTTTTTAGGTCAGTTCTTTTTAGTTAAATACTTTGGTAGCAACAGACCAAGTTGCTGAGAATTGGATCCAATGCATATAGTATGTTTTGAGATTCCTGTTGTAGAAAAAAAGAAACCTATCCCAAAACGTTCCCAAACTGAGTAGTATGATAACCTTACCTCTAAAATACCTGCATATTGTGGCCTTAGGCAAAGTGCTGAAATTTAGATTCCTCCATTTTTTATATGTCACATGTGGCTTCAAATAAAATACACTTCATATGTATTTAAGATATTAGAATCATAAACTCACCATATGAAGAGTTTCAATACCTTTGAAATATAGTGACTGACAATATAACCCAAGTGCACATTTTACTCTGTGTGCTCTAATTGCTACTGTAAACTTATGGCATTAATGTATTGAGAACACTGTGTAGTGCATTTCCCATGCTATGTGTGCAATCATATAACTTACGCATGAAATTCTCGTGTTTTCTGAAATCATAGAAGAAATTGTGAACTTATGATATATTTCAGTTTGAAGTGAAGCAGCACCTTTTGAAATCATGGGAAAACTGTGTGATGACTTTTAACTGACTCCCATTCTTATTTTTTTAAAATAAAACAATATCACTAGTTCCTCAAGGAAGCTGACAATCCACTGTGTTGTAGAAAGAATGTCCTAAAGACTGAGATGTTTCTGTCTGCTCAAAATTTATGCCACTGCAGAAAAGCTTGTGTTTATGATAGATTGAAAAGAAAACAAATTTCTGGTGTCCAAAAGTGCGGCTGTGACCTGAGATCTCATCTTAAATCCAGTCCATTATAAGTCTCAGCTTCAAAACATGGAACATATCTTAGATTTAGATTCAGTTGGGATTTCTGGAAATTCAGATCTTAGAACATGGTCCCACCTGTTCTGTTTGCTAGTTCTATAGGCTAAGTCAATCTTCTGGAGAATAGAGCATTGGTTATCATACAGGACAATACAGGGCCACTGCTTCCCTCAGAGATGCTATGTCTTTAAAAGATATAGATATATTTCTTTTCTCAATGGTTCTTTTAACTGCAACATTTATAGTTCAAAAGAAGGTAGAGTGGGTTTTTCTAGGTAATAAAACAATTTAATCAGTGCATTTGTATGAGCAGCATGTTTCTCAATCCATTAATCAGATGTAGGAAAAGATAAAAAGGAAAGCAATGATCAAAGAGAGGCCAGTATGGCCAAAGAGAGACAGTATGAATTGTGAGCTGTAAACTGGCATCACTAGGACCACTCGTCCCTGGTTGTTTTATTTATTCATTGACTGCTTCTTTTATGAAATTTTCCAATGTCTTCTTAAGATTGAAGAAAAATTGACTATAGTTGTGCCTGTCATGCCTGTCTCAGAACTAGCTCACATCTGCGAGCTTTTCCTGGTTTATGCAGACTGAGTTAAATTACTTTTTTAATTGTATTTCAATGAGAACTTTTTTCTTTCAAGTCAGTGCTCAACGGTGATGGATGGAAGGATGTAGGGAAACATTGGCTTTTCTCAGGATATACTGTAGATGACCTTATGTCCTATGTCCTTGTTTCATTTGAAAAGAATAATTACTAATCAATAGTGAAGGGTTAGGTGACACAGTAGGTTAATTTACTAGCCTTTTGCCTCTGGAGAGCTGGATTCTCGCTTAGGTCACATGTAAAATAGGTTTGGTGGTTTCAGCCTTGTCCATTGTGAATGTCTGGCTATATCACAGAAAACAAGCTTGAATTTGATATGTGTTAGATGCCTGGCAGTTTCTGCTTGGGGAAATCTCAGGGCTCGAACTGTAGGGATCCAAGGGTGGGCAGAACGGGCACACGCTGACATCTGCAAGAAAAAATGCAGCACAGCATCACAGTCTGCCTGACCACGGGGGACCGGGCCCTCCATCAGAGTCAGGGGCATTAGTCCCACTGGAGCCAAGTGTATCCAAACTTTTAAAGACCTGAGATTCTCTTTCTCTCTGTATCTGTTGGAGTCTTGCAGGGACTGCCTTTTGGGACGTGCCTTTAGAAGACCATTCTCTCAGTTACCTTTTTCTCAAAATTACCCATCCAAGAAACTGCTTTCAGTTTGTGCTTCAGAAGAATTCATTACAAGAGTTTCATGAGTAGAAATACCTTTTCTGTTTATAAACTGGAAAAATAGTATAGTTTTAGCCAATTTTTAAAATTATTACATCTCCTTACTCAGCAGCTCCAGACTCTTTATTCTTTGAATGAGAGTCTTGACATTTTGCAGGAGGCTGGTCTGGTGGTGAGGTCATATAAACCCTTATATGATTATTAGTATCAAGCCTGAGTTAACCTTGATAGCCTGCTGAAACTTTATTTTGTTTTTAAAGTGTAACTTTGATCCCAGTCTTTAGCATAATTTGGATTTTTAATACTCATACTTGATCTGTCTGTGAAGTGTCTGACTTCACCACTGAGGAGGCAGAAGGGGAGCTGAGAGTAAGAGTCTGTGTTTTTTTGCTGTGCTCAGAGTGCTCCTCTTCTTTTAGTGATCTGTCCTATTGAATGCAGAAGGTGGAAGGGGAAAAGTGAACAAAATTAGAAACTGCGGGCAGAGAAGAGGTCTCTTGTTCAGCACTCACAGTTGCATCTAGACTTGAGTGGAACTATAATTTGAGTATATAAAGAACTGTAAAATACATGATGAATTGATGTTTCATGTTGGGCACAGAAAACTAATGGACAAATTGGACAATTTTGGCCTTACTCTCCTTTTTTTTCTGCTATAAGATGGACTCTTCATCTCTTCATCCCTTCGGGATGTTGAAAAGATTGGTGCTTGAGAAGGATTTAGACATGACTGTGAGTAACCTAACGAGGAATTGGAAGGGATGAATAATTTTATAATCACTGCAGGTTTTAATAGTCATTAAATAAGTTCAAATAACCAATGAGGAAGATGAAATGAAAATTTAAATAATCACCCATTTAGAGACTGTACCAGGAAGTCCCATGGGGAGGAAAGTGTATGAACATGTGAGTAAAGACAATCATAATAC